AGCTAGCATTTGTTGCCCTTAATGCAGAGAAACTAAAGCAGATACCTTAAAAGCAACTGAGACCAATAGGAACTAGAGAAAAGGTGAGATCAAAAAGCATTAACCTAGAAGGTAACACACACGCACAGGAAATTAATGAGTCAACTCCCTGTATAGCTATCCTTATCTCAACCAGCAAAAACCCTTGTTCCTTCCTATTATTGCTTATATTCTCTCTTCAACAAAATTAGAAATAAGGGCAAAATAGTTTCTGCCGGGTATTGAGGGGGTGGGGGGAGAGGGAGGGGGAGGAGTGGGTGGTAATGGAGGGGGTGTGGGCAGGGGGTAGAAATGACCCAAACCTTGTATGCACATATGAATAATAAAACAATGAAAAAAATTAAGAAAGCAGATTTTTAAAAAAAGAATGGAAATGTTTCCCTGGGAGGTTTTCTTTTCATGATTACCAAATATGGCATGAGTCAGATCCTAGCTACTGACCACTAAGAAGAGTGGAGAAAGCTTTATGAGGGATTGGGAAGGCATCATCATTGTAGCAATGGCTTGTTGTGTTTCATTAGAGGAAGAAAAGTGAAGTGATCTGTTTTAACACAGGGAGTCACTTCAGATGGGCTTGGATTTTCTGGTCCTTCAGATCATCCCATTTACAGCAGCACCCTGAGGTGTTAAAAAGTAGGACTTTTCCTTCAGACAAGGCACTCAAAAGCAGTCCAATGGGTGTCAAAGTCTGCATGAGGCAGACAGAAAAGACAATATGATGGAAGAGGGATATAAAAAAAATTGGCCTAGAAGTGGCATTGTATTAAGACTCTGTCTGTCTGCACATAGTTCCCAGAAGGAAAGACCAGATATCAAGGAAGCAGCATAACCTTAACATCTCAGTGTCTAAGTAAGACTGAATTTGTCTCAAACCTTCATGCCTTTTTAAGGAACTATTCAAGAAATGTGTAGGTCTATGCTGTAGGCCTTGGGAAATTATTAATGAAGCAGTTTTCGTGCCAGCCATTGTTCTAGGGTCTGAAACTGTAAAGCTATGCTAGGTAGGTCAACTTATTGATGCCATTTTAGTCATGGAGACTGGAGAGTTGCATTTTTCAAATGGCGTGGTTTAGGGTGGATCAAAAATCCAAATAGAGAAATCCCCGTAAAGATGGAAATAGGCAGCTGAGAGATGAGGGGGAAGAAAGACAAGACTAGGGACGCAGAAGTGAAGCATGGGATTCATTATCCAATTTCTCGTTTTGCATTGTGTAAAGGGGAATCATGCATCAGATGACACAAGACCCTGAGAGGAAATGATTTTCAGTTCCATTTTAAACTAGAAAGGTCAAGATATTTTGAATTTTTAATGCAGTCTGGTCTTGTATCTGGTTAACTTTAGCACTCAGGAAGGAATTTTGACTTATGTTGAGGTTTTGGTCATTATACCTTTGAGACACCTGTGTGTTTTAGTTTCTTAGTAAATGGCTGTCAGGTTTGGGAATTTGGTCCATCCATTCTGTATTTGTCCAACTTAAACTTGAAGCTAATTCTCACTGTTCATTGTTATCTTCTCTTATCTACTTAGGTAGCCACTTATTGTTTTATGGCTTTTGTTTCATAAAGTGCAAATTCTCTTGGGTTATATTCCTAACATACATTGCATAATTATCATTGTAAGCTTTTGATCAGTGGAGAATATAGTAAATACTTCAATATTTCATTATAAAGAATATTGGTAAATATAGAGGCCAGAAATGTTTAAAAATCTTGTGTCACCAACTGAATCATTGAAGCACAGGAAACAAAATTTCTGGGATATTTATGTATGCTTGCTGTGGTACAAGATGGAGAATGTATTCATTAATTTATTCAACAACATGTGTTGAAAACTTTCTGGGTTTTTTATTTTATTCTTTGTTTCACTGGAGTTTTTGGGGGAGCAGTGGTCAGGGCTTGATTTCCTCCCTCAGCCTTCAGAGTATTGAGATTGTAGGTGTGGCCCACCAAACTCAGTTCTACTAAAACCCTTTAATCTTAATAAAAATCTTGTAAAATAAGCAATTTCTTATTTTTACAGTTAAGTAAACTGAACTCAGAGCAGTGAATTTTCGGTACAGGTGACAGCTGAAGAGTTATTGAATTGAACTGAAAGGATCTTTTTATGGACTTGCATGCCTGATACACTTTTCCATGGTGGCCATTCAAAAAAAGAAGCTGGCATTCATTGGTTAAATTTCAAGTGCACAGTTGCATATTCTGTCTGTGTTATCACAAGGGCATCAAGCACGACATCCAAGTAGCTTTCTGGCATCCATGTCTGAAGCATCGATGATGATCTTCCGGTTCAGTGAACCTAAGTAATACAGGAATTAATTGGTTGCCAAAAATTATTAGCACTAATTGTACATTAGGATTCTGTAAAACCTTCTCTCCTCTTCATCATACTTTCTTAGAATCCTGTTTGTATTCTTATCACTATTAATGTCAACCTTTAGCTGGGCACGGTGGTATACCCCTATAATACCAGCATTCTGGAGAATGAGACAGTAGGACTTAAAGTTCAAAGAAAAACAAACAAAAAAAGAAGACAAGAAAAATAACTAAAGTAAATGTCAACATTCTAAGAGGAAGACCAGTTTTGTGCCTGTCCTGTTTCCAGTTTATCAAAGATCATTTTTCTAGTTTCATTATTCACTCCTTTCTTATACTATTGACTTGTCAATTGTGTTTCTCTTTTAAAACCTTTTAAAAGGTGGTTATCCTAGAGTTTGCTATATACCTTTACAATTAACCATCTTCTTTCATATAAACATAGGTAATACAAGTATCTTATACTAACAAAGCCTTCCATAGGTATCATTTTTTCATTCATCAAACTATAATCCTAGAATACATTTTGGTTGTGATTATTTTGAACTGTAATCTGTTAGATTAATTGAAGCTATGAAAAATAAAGTTCATAATTTACAAATGCTTTTCTAATACTTTCTTGACATAGCTCCCAGTTGATCACCACAACAACTTGATTCTCTCCAAAGAACTTCTTTTAATATTCTTGCAAGGCAAGTTTTCTATGAACAAATTATATCTGTTTTTTACTTATCTTACAAAATATTTATTTGCCCTTCATTTTTTCTTGTTTAGATGTTTATTCTTAGAAAATTATATATTCATGTTAGTTTCAGAGCATTTTTCCACAACAATATTGTTCAGAGAGTTCCCATTTGTTTTCTACCCCCACACATTTTCTACCCCTCTCACATCATCAATATCTTCCACCAAAATAGTACATTTGTTACAACTGATGAACCTATATGGAGACATCATTTTAACTCAGAGTCCTTAGCTTATGTTAGGATTACTCTTGGGTCTTGAGCTTTTGGAGTCACATATAAAAAAATCTTTGCCAAGACCAATGTCAAAATCAATTCTCCTATGTTTACCTCTAGTCTCTTTTCATTGCCAAGGTCATGACTAAAACTTTAATTCATTTTTAATTGAAATGTGTATATGGGGTGGGATAAGTGTATTTCCATCCTACGGAATAGGGATATCCAGCTTCCCAAAAACAATAAATTAAAGGCAACGAATTTAAGAAGGAAGACTTATATATACGTGACCAATATATACAGACTAAAGAACTCACAAGCAACAACAAAACACTGATAGAAATAAGTAATAAATAGGTACAGTTGTAAGATACAAATTTCATATGAAATGAATTCCATTTGAAAGGCAATCAAGTATCAGAAAGGAAATTCACAAGATTATCCCTTTTTCACAACGTCAACCAAAAGAATAAACTTTGCATGAGTATGTTTAACCAAGGAGTAAAGTGTCTGTCCACTTAAAACCATAAACTCTTCTAATTCTGCTTACAATTTTACTACAGCCACTTTTCATTTCTATTCCACTTTTTATGTCTATCCTACATCCTTAGCTTATTAAGAGGTGTTTATATTTAATATGCCAGTTTCTTAAATTAAAATATTCTCATATTTTGAAGGGGTGGTCAAATATTTCACTCAACAAAATGTATTTAGCATCCATGGGGCATGAAAGAAAGTAACATTAATTTAACTCCTCTTGTATATCTTAAAGCAAACACTAAAATTTATTTTGATATTCATTATTATCTCTAATCTGAGGAGCTTACAGCTCAAAGAGGGACAAAGACATATTTAAAAATATTTCAGTGAGTGCCTCCAGAACTAGAAAGAAACTGTACAAAGAAGATTGAACCAGAGAAGAAGGGAACAACTCTTCCAAGGGGAGATGATGAGGGATGAATGTACCAGCTGGAGAAGAACTAGGAGAGGATCTGTGGGGTGGAGTTGTCATAAGGAACGTATTTGTGATAATGGGGTTTTTTCTCCCCCAAGATGGATCAATACACTTCTCAGTCCTTTGTGACAGATGGCAGCTGGTCAAAGGCAGAGCTTCAAGGATTGGTACACTGATCAACACACTGAGTAGATGGAATCAGATTGGCACACAGAAGTCAAATTTGTGATCTCATCCTGGCTAGTCCTGGACCCTACTTTACTGAAAAGATCTCTCTCATAAACTAGGAAAAGGAATAAAAGAGAACAACATAGAATACTAATTTTGTAATTCACAAATTAAATTTAAAAGCATTTTCCACCTTGCTGCTTTGGTGTCTTAATCTCAACACTATGAAGAAGGCAGTATCTCATCTCTACTTTCAGACTAGGAAGCATCACATCCAAAGGATTGAGTGTCCTGGCTAACATTACGGAACAAATAGGCACAGGACTAGGGTTCAAGTGAAGACCACATCACTCCTAATCCAGGGACCTCAATGCTAGAGAAAGGCAGAATTAAGAACAGAAGTTTCAACAGAACTAAACAGAACAAAAAATTGAAACTAAATGCTTTGATTATGGAGTATTTAGGGAATTACATCATATATTCAGGAAATTATATGATGTACCATTTTAATTCACATTCTTCATAGGACACATTCGCTTGTCTTCTGTGTGTGAAGATAAAAGGCTATGGGGAACTTCAACATTACTTTGGACAAGGGTTTCATTTTGGTGGGCTTCTCAGATTGGCCTCAACTAGAACTTGTCTTCTTTGTAATCATTTCAGTTTTCTACTCCCTAAGTCTTTTTGGCAACATTCTCTCCCAACTAGACCTGCAACTGCACACAACCATGTACTTCTTCCTCTGCCACCTCTCCTTTCTGGATCTCTGCTATACCACCAGCACTGTGCCCCAGTTTCTGGTCAACCTTTCTGGACTTGACAGGACCATCAGCTATGGATGGTGTGTGGCCCAACTTATCATGTCCCTCTCCCTGGGTGGAACTGAGTGTGTGCTCTTGGTGATGATGGCCTTTGATCGCTATGCTGCTGTGTGCCATCCACTTCAGTACACGACCATTATGCACCCCCTTCTCTGCCAGGCACTGGCTACTACTTCCTGGTTGGGAGGACTTGTGAACTCTCTGATTCAAACAGTCCTCACAATGGCCATACCTCTGTGTGGCCATCTCCTGAATCACTTCTTCTGTGAGATGCCTGTGCTCCCAAAGTTGGCTTGTGAGGACACAAGAGGAACAGAGGCCAAGATGTTTGTGGCACCAGTCATAACGGTTGCCACAACTGCAGCTCTAATTCTGGGCTCCTATGCCCACATCGCAAGGGCAGCATTGAAGACCAGGTCAATGGCTGGGTGCAGAAAAGCTTTTGAAACTTGTGGCTCTCACCTCTTGGTGGTTTCTCTGTTTTATGGATCTGCCACATACACATACCTACAGCCCATGGGCAGTTATTCTGAGAGGGAGGGAAAGTTTGTTGCCCTTTTTTATACTATAATCACCCCCATGCTCAATCGTCTGATTTATACCCTGAGGAACAAGGATGTGAAGGGGGCTCTGAGGAGGGTACTAGGGAAAGTCAGAGATTCAGGATAAGTGAGGAAAGAGGGCCACTAGAAGTTTTCGTCATATCTCTCATGTCCTAAAACCCTTCCTGCTCATTGAGTAATTTTGGTCCCAAGAAAATAGCCCTCATTAAACCTCGGAAGTTTAGTGCCTTCCTTTTAAGGCAGTTGGAAGTGGGGATTGCTTGAGATGTTTCTAGTTGAGTATCTATGATCACTCTGTAGGAGAGAATGAGAGATCATTTAAATCACAACTTTCTACAACCATGTGTTTGGCAAGAGGGTGTATTCTGTTCACATGAGTAGTGACAGCTCTGGAGCATTTCTGAGAGTGAGGAAAATATTAATTAAATGCTTCAAACCATATACAAAGCCAAAGGTTCAAAATATTGTCTGATATAGATGGCACTTTGCCTAAATGCAGAGAACATGAATTCTCTCCTGGTTTTCTACTTAATTGTGTAACCACAATCCCTTACATTTCAGGGCTTCTTTCCAGTTCTTTTGTCATTGTTACCCTTTCAGCTATCTAAAGGTTCCTGTTAACTTGGATCAAATTATGAGATCATGGTCTGAGATACTTCATGGAGCAAGTAGAGTTTTACGTATTCTGTCTTTTACCTACCTTTTTTTCAAAAAAGCAAAATTATTAGGGTAGCACTAGGTAAAAAGGGCATCAACATCTCATCAGTTGCACCAAGAATCTCTGACATGCTGCCTGGTGTCACAGAGAAGAAATTTGCATCCTAGAAAGAATAGAAAACATAAGCATTAAAACATGATCCATGAGGAAGTGATATATGAAAAAAGAGAAAGCATAAAAGAGAGTACCACAACAGAGAGAGAGAGAGAGAGAGAGAGAGAGAGAGAGAGAGAGAGAGAGAGGTTCCTGCAGTAGGAAGACATGGAAAATTCAAGTGGCACTTAGCCAAAATTTGTAGACAGAATCTTTGCAATTTACTACTGTCATTTCTTTCTTGGAAGGTTTAAACTGAGGGCCTTTTGCTTGCTAGACAAGTGCCTAACCACTTGAGCCATGCCTCTAGTCCTTTTTGCTTTAGTTTATTTTCCAGGTTGGGTCTTGCTTTTGCCCAGGGCTGGCCTCATATCACATCCCTCCTACCTCCATTTTCCACAAAATTTGGATTATAGGCATGTGCCACCATGCCGGCCCATTGTCATTTCTTTCCATGTATTTAAATGATGGTTACGTGTAAAATTGCAGGTATCCTTATAAATAAATTTTTAAAGTCTCAGTAAGTTTCATGTTGAGTGAATCATCTTTGATTACAATAACAAAAACTATATCATCTTTGAAAAAAATTTATGCAAACAAATAATCTTCATGACTTAAATCTGAGGTAGTTTGTTATATTCCCTACTCATTCATGAATGAAAGAAGTTTTAACATTAACTTATCTAAGTTCACATAGCAAATACAGAATGAAGCTGAAATACTCCTGTAATCCTTAATCCAATCCTTACTACCATAATCTGCCAATTTTTTTTCCCAAAAGTCACTTCTTTATATAGGAAGAGCATTTGGAAGGAAGGTAGCTGGAAAAAAATCAAAAGTGAGCTTTATATACTTCACAGTTTTTCTTTGGTCTATTTTGGCCTTGTTTCAAACACTCTTCTGCTTTCCTTATTCTTTCATCAATGGGCATATCTTTTTCTTTGGGCAAAACTAATGTGTATGGTATTTCTGATTTCTATTTTTTTAATCCATTCTACAGATCAACGTGCTGAAAAATATATCCCATTGTCATACTTGGTTCCTCTGCCCCCATTAATTTTACTGATCAAGATACTGAAGATTAGATAATTTTCTATATGCTTCAAGTCATTGAGACATCAAATCAGATGTTAGGATTTAAATATTGCCATCATATCCCAAAATACTACTGAAGTACTACTTAATAATCCATATTTTTATATTTCTTTAACTGAAGATAGCAACCAACAACCTGCATGAGACCAATGATTTTTCTTTTATGCTTTAAAGAAGATTATTTGAACAAACAGGACAGAATTTAATTAAATTTTTAAATTAATGTTTTACTCTCTCATTTGTCATCTAATAAATGTACATGCTCAGTTATGCTTGTGGAATCATACAGTGTAGTTAAGCAATTTTCAGAGGCCACTGGGAGAGTTGGACACACACAGCCATGCTTTCATAATTCAGGTCTTGTGAGAGGCCAGATGCCATCTCTGTTGGAACCCACACCCCTTGGGTCTCCTTGTGCCTTACCATGCATGGCAGTGGCTAATTGGTCAGTCACTGAGATGGGACCACTGAGGTCATGGGTCCCCTAGCCATTCCAGAGCCAGTGCGAAATCCCAGTTTCCTTAAGTTGCTATAGGAGAAAGTCAAAGCTGACTTCCCATCTTGACACCTGTCTCCTTTGTCTTTCAGAGCCCAAATGGCTGCCATTTGATGCCCATTGTAACTTATCCTTAAATAGGAAAAACCTTCTAAATGAGATTCTGAGTTAAAAATAATGATTCATGAAAGAATTAGAAAGTGGGACTTAATTATTGGAAAAAAATAAAGGGAGACTTAGGAGAAAAGAGGTTGTGTAGGATAGTCCCTGAAGTAGAACACCTTAGAGATGATTTAATAACAATATATTTCCCGAATGTCAGGAATGACACTTTTGCTCTAGGCATTAAAACTTTCCTAAACTTCATGATTTATTTTTTAAAATCTCATTGCTTATACTGGCATCACTCATAATTAGTAGTCAAAGGATAAGATCACAAAGTATAAAAATGTTTAATGGCCTAAAAATGTCCACTCCAGCCACTTCCATACAATATAATACTGACAGTCTTATCCAAATAGCCAAGGAAAAGAAATAAAAGGAATCTGAAAGAGAAATGAAATTTTTTAATTGTTTCTTGTTAGCAAACAATAAGATTTTATAAAAGGCCCCTTCTGACTCTACCAAAAAACTGGTGGAACTAAGCAGTAAATTCAGGAAATTGCAGGACATCAAATTCACTTGAAAAATCACATTTGCGTACATCCAATTATTCTATAAAACTGTATGAAAAAATTAGAAAACAATCCTAATAAAGATAACTACAATAAAGTCTGAGGAGTCATTTACTCTAAGAGGTGAAAGACCTGTATAATAAAACTACAAACCACTGAGAAAAGAATTTAAAGAAGATACAGATAAGTAAAAAAGATATTCTTTGCTCATTGATTGAAAAAACTATTATTATTGAAATGTCCACTATCCAAAGAAATTCATAGATTGATACAATCTCCAGCACAAGTTCACTGGCATTTTCTCCAGAAGTAGAAAAATCCATCTTAAAATTTATATGGAACCAGGAAAGGCCTCAAATATTCAAAGTAGACTTGAATTAAAAGAACAAAGCTGAATAATACCTGACATAAAATTATACTAAAATTATAGTAATACAAACAGCATGGTGCTGGCCTAAAAAGAGACACATCAACCAATGGAATGGCATAGAGAACTCAGAAATAAATCTACAAATTTTTGGTCTATTGATTTTTTTTTGAGACGGGATCCGGATGTAGCCCAGGCTGACCTGGAAATCCCTTTGTAGTCCGGGCTTGCCTTGAACTCTTGCTCCTGTGGTCACAGTCTCCTGAGTTCTTGGATTTCAGGAGTTTACACCATGCCTGACTTTGCCAGTTTTTACAAAAGTACCAGGAATATGCAGTAGGAAAGGATGTCCCCTTCTGTAAATGGTTTTAGGAAAACTGGATATCCACATGAATAAGAGTTACATTAGGTTCTTATCTAACTGCATACCCAAATGAACTCAAAATGAATAGCAAACTTAACCTGGAAATATATTTTAAAGGACACTATACTTGAAAATGTAAAAGTACTGGAAGAAAGTGAAAGGGAAAACTCCATGGCAGTTGTCAAGTGTTTTTTAACTAGTAAGTTTCTGAATATGAATCCCAAAGCACAGAAAACAAAAATAGACCTATGTAATAAAATCAAACCAGAAAGCTTTTGCACAGCCAAAGAAAAAAACAACATAGTGAAGAGCAACCCATGGACAGGACAAAATGCTTACAAACTGTACTTCTGAGCTGGTGGTGTGCCCAAGTGATAGAACTCCTGCCTAGCAAAAGTGAGACTGAGTTCAGACCCCAATACCATCAAACCACACTTCTGATTAAGGATTAGTATAATACATACAAGGAATTAAATTCATTTTTTATTTAAAAATAAAAGAAATAAGCCTATTAAAATGTGCAAAATATGATTAACTTTCTCTCAAAAGAAGATACACAAATAGCCAATAGATATTTAAATGCTCAAAATCCCTAAGGTTTAATAAAAGTTACAGGAAGTTATTGTTTCAGACTAAGTTCGAACACTGGGCCCCAAAAGGTCAAACTAAAAATCTAAATGGACTCATTCATGCTGAAATTTGCTGTCACCAAACTGAAGGTGAGTTGTTATAAGCCTTCTAAGATAGCAGGACAGATACATTACAACCAAATTTCCCAATATGCCAGTTTTAATGAGCATGATAGCAAGTTCTCTGTTTTAATCCTTAGAAATGGTACCTGTAGTAACCTCATGCTAATCAATCAATTAGTTTTCTATACTGGAATCTGTTTCCTGCCTTACTTACAAGGGAAATAACTTTTAAATGAATGACCAATTCCCTTTACCTTCCTTGTTTCTGTTAGGCACCTCATGTCTGCAAAATGAGCTTCGTTTCCTTAGTTAATTGTAACACTTTCTCTATTTTTGTATGCATTCAAAGGAAAGGAAATCGGTACAATGAAGAGATATTGACACTCCCATGTTTACAGGTGAGATATGAAACTAACCTAAGTTTCCACCAACAAATTAATGTATAAAGAAAATGTGAAATTCAATTGCTTACAACTAAAAGTCATACTTTTACTTGTCCACCCCACCATCACAATTGGGTTGTGGTATTGCAGCTTATATCTCTTCTCTTTAATATGTCTATCCAGTAACACAGTACTATGAATATAATTATTTTATTAAATTTATT